TATATATATATATATATATATATATATATATATATATATATATATAAATAAGACAGTATACAGTGCAATGTTATGTATAATAGGTATTAACATTGTCTCCTACAAAGAAAAATTTAAGATTGAATATAATGCTTACATTCTTGTTAATTGTATCATAGATTTATATTCTTAGATATTCAATCTTGTTAATTGTATCATGAATTTATACTCTTAGATATTCAATCAGTTATAGATAATTATAAATTGTCAATTAGCATTACTCAACTCATTCTCAACATCTATGAAAATATAAAACATTATTCATGATTTATTATAGAGCAATTATTGTAGTCCAACAAGGTATGACCCCATCGGCCAAGCAATCACTAACAGACATGGCACCAAAGTATATATTAGAGCAGTTCTTGGAATCAGAGCTACTGATTAATATTACTGAGCATGAGCTGGTACCTGAACATATCGTTTTGACCCCAGATGAAAAGGAAGAATTACTAACCAGATACAAATTGAAGGAAAATCAGCTTATGCGAATACAAGCTGGTGATCCAGTAGCACGATACTTTGGTCTAAAAAGAGGGCAAGTGGTAAAGATCATCAGGCCATCAGAGACCGCTGGTAGATACATATCTTACAGGCTAGTCTGTTAATAAGAAAATAAAGAAAAATTACGTTAAAAATAGATAACACACATTGAAAGAGAAAATAAAAACGAAAGATGCTCTAATTTGAAATTGTTGCCATTTATTGTACCAGCATGTTATATTATTTTATTTATATTATATTATCTAACTTTCCAGGCAGCAATGCCACGTCATTTTCATGTCGATAAATGGTGATTACCAATTCTAAATGTCATATAACTAATAATTGACGTTTAAAAGACATTATTATTTTGATGGATAATAATGTCATTTAAAGACGTCTATACTACTTTTTTGAGAGGTAATTTTTAGTCAGCTGTTCGATAAGCAAAGAATGTGACAGATATTTATCTAATGTTCATTTATATCAAATGTAGTTTATTTAACCAATAGATTATTATTTATACACGTTATTTATTTTTTATATATTTGCATCTCAAGCATTTGACTTCGGGAGCGGTGCATTTGGACACAGCCAATCACAGCACCGTGTGATTAGAGACATTTGTAGGGTCCCTTGGAACAGCGACTTGTGATTGGACTGTGTCCAATTGCCCCGTGTCCAACTGATATACACCCTTTGACTTCTAGGAATAAACCTTATAGAACTTGTCCTACCATTTCTTACTCAGAAGCATTGCATTGCAATTAGTAGGGTGATGTTCAAAGATATGTTAATAAGAAAATATTGACTCAGATAGCACAAAGAAGTTCATAGAGAATTCTCACAGATAGTTGGCTATCTGTTAATTTGTATATTTTTATGTATATACATAAATTTAATTAATTTAATTAAATCTTACATAGTAAGATGGATTTTTTCTTTTATTAAATTATACTCTTTTATAATTACTCAAAGTTTATATTCTTTTATGACTTTGTCTATTTAATAACACTTAACAATAAAAAAATTTTTACTATAAAATTTTAAAGATAACGAAATGGAATGTGCGAGATTTTGTAGACCTTACTTCATTAGAGAGAGTTAGAGTTTAATTAGCTAGAGTTAAATTAACAATAAAGGTACGAAAAATATAATTTTTATTAAAATTAAATTATTATAAATCATCAAAAAATTATATTACATTATGTTAAATACAACTCATAGACAAAATATAAGACGTTTATATCGATCGAAGAAGTGGTGTAGTGTCTAAAGCAACAGACTCATAATCCAGAGATGTCTCATAGTTCAAGTTCGAGTCCCAGTGCCAGTGAGAATTTTTAAAATGATGTAACATTGGAATCAAGCAATCTAAAATTTTCAAATAAAATCAGCAAATGCTGTGACATTTATATATATAAATATTTTCTGTTAGAAAATAGAACCGAATAAGGATATTCCAACGTCATTTTTACGTCTTTTTATGACGCCACTTTCACGTTTTATTATGACGTCGGTGGGCTATGATTTATTCCGCTCATTTTCACGTCATTATTACGTGATTATAAAAGGATAATTGACATCACGAATAACCAAAAATTAACGTCACGTTGCTGCCTGGGTTACCTACTATGGTTGCTTTCCAACAAGAGACACAAGTCGACACAAACATCATTCTATCTTTGTTCCACATTTAGTGAGTAACAAAGATAGGATGATACTTGTTTCGACTTGTGTCTCTTGTTGGAAAGCAACCTATATACTAATCTTAATCTATATACGACTATATATCGACGATCTAAATATCGTATATACTAAAATCAAGAAGACTAGAAACAAGAAGGTCGACTCCGTCGAAATAGCATGGAAGTAGATGAGGCAGAAAGCGACGATTGCTAATGCCCTCACTCCTGCGCGATACTCTTCTCTCTCTGTCATTTAGTCGTTCTTTCTTTTTCTGTTTGAGATTGCGCATTGCATCGGAAAGTTCGTGTTGTTTATCGTGTTCAAGAAGGTTTCTAGAGGTGTATATCAGTTGGACACGGGGCAATTGGACACAGTCCAATCACAAGTCGCTGTTCCAAGGGACCCTACAAATGTCTCTAATCACACGGTGCTGTGATTGGCTGTGTCCAAATGCACCGTGTCCAAGTGCACCGCTCCCAAATCGAGAGCATATCTAAATCCTGTCCCGAGATTCTACTGAACATGAATCGACAAGATTCACCGCCTTCAGGTAATAAAGACGCGCGTGATCATACCTCTGCCTTAGGGATTAGGGTACAACCGTGCGTCCAAAAAAAATATATATATATTTGCGATGACACAACCATCGGAGCTGGAAAACAGAAGCAATAAAGTAAAGAAACTCTTACGCCTCGAACATCTTAACGGAGAGGAATCTTCGCACGTCTTAAGATTAGTGCAGAGATATAGCAACCTTTTCTTATTACCTGAAAACCGCTTGAGCTGTACGTCTCTCATCGAGCATAGAATTAAGACAACGGACGACAATCCGATTAATACTAAGCAATACCGCTTCCCGTCGATCCATAAAGGGGAAATCAATCGCCAAGTACAAGGGCTTTTAGTAAATGATATTATCATGCCTTCGAATTCTCCTTACAACTCCCCCTTATGGATCATTTCTAAGAAGCCAGATTCAAAGTGTTATAAACGCTGGCGAATGGTCATAGACTATAGAGCGTTAAATGAAAAGCCGTATGCGATTCTTATCCTTTACCTAACATCACAGAAATTCTCGATCAACTAGGCAGCGCGAAATATTTTAGCGTATTTGATTTAGCATCAGGATTTCATCGGATCAGGATGCATGAGCCTGACGCACAAAAGACGACATTTTCAACGCCTTACGGGTACTATCAATTCAACCGCATGCCATTCGGCTTAAAGAATGCCTCCGCGACGTTCAAAGACTCATGGATCAAGTATTGACGGGTTTACAAGGCACAGAATTATTCGTTTATTTAGACAACATTGTGTTGTATGCGAGTTCGCTTAGGGAACACGAAACTAAATTCGCAAGGTTAGCAGAGCGTCTTAGAGCAGCTAACTCAAGCGGATAAATGCGAATTCCTTAGAAAAGAAGTAACCTACCTAGGTCATAAAATTAGCGAAACAAGTTAAACCCGACGACGCCAAAATACAAGCCGTAAGAGAATTCTCGAAACCTAATAATGCAAAAAACATCAAACAATTCTTAGGTCTCGCCGGATATTACCGTCGGTTCATTCCAAAAATTTCTAAAATCACGAAGCCTCTTACGTTTGTTAAAAAAGGATATAACGTTTACTTGGGAAGAGCTTCAAGAACTAGCGTTCAAAAAAATATGTGATTTGTTATGCGCGAAGCCGATATTATTAGGTGGTAAACTTAGTTCCTGCGGCTCACAGTTAGATGACGTTAGTTGTAGGTATAATTTATTTTGACATCTGAAACTGGCTGCATTTTAGAGGTTAGACATTTGTCAATAAAATTCAGTGCGAAGAGATTCATTTAAGCGAGCAGTGCTATTTTTTCTTTTGATTAAATATGGAACGTGATAAGTTGTTTTTTCGACATATGCTGCTTCATTACTTTGACTTAAAAAAAACTGCAGCTGCAGCTCATAAATTGCTTTTCGAAGCTTATGGCAATTATGCTCCATCGGAAAGAACATGCCAAGTATGGTTTCAGCGATTTAAGAGTGGTGATTTTGATGTCAATGATAAAGAACGCTCAGGCCAACCGAAAAAGTTTGAAGACACCGATTTGCAGGCATTATTGGACGAAAACTCTACTCAAACGCTCCAAGAATTGTCTGCAGCATTAAATGTTACTCCGATGGCTGTTTCCAAACGTCTACATGCAATAGGAAAAATTCAAAAGGAGGGAAAATGGGTACCACACGAATTAACCGCAAATGCCATTGCGAATCGCTTAAACATCTCTATTTCTCTGCTCGCCAGGCAGAAAAAGAAGAATTTTTTGTGGCGCATAGTGACTGGCGATGAAAAATGGATATACTTCGATAATCCTAAACGAAGAAAATCATGGGTAGACCCTGGCCAACCATCGACATACACACCAAAGAGAAATATTCATGGCCACAAAGCAATGCTTTGCATTTGGTGGGATAAAATTGAACTTTAAAGAACTTTTTTGTATCTGAAAATAAACTCAGAATTGGTGACATATGACTGAATTCTTTTTGAATTCTCTGTGCTATCTGGGCTGACCGCAACATCAAGACATACGCGCCGTTCCACACTTTATTTAACGCACCGGTGTTAATTGTACCATTATAAACCTCTAATTCCAAGGGATATGCACGGCGTCGTTTATTATGAGCTACTCAGACCGAACGAAAG